TTATATAATATTCTAAGGCTTTAGATCTCACACGAAGGGGTCAGTTTGACCTTTTTTCTTCAAAGTCTGAATTAAATGGTGTTTGGAAAGCTATTAAAGGGTTACAAGCATTAGCGCACACAAGGGGTGGGTTTTGGGGTTCAAACCCCCCCCTAAAGCTAATAACCTCAAATACAATCTGTATCTTAAAGCTAAGAATCCAGCTCTCAAGGAAATTATAAGAAATATTTATTGTAATTTCTGTTGCTTGAAAAAGCGCTTTGCTTTTGCTGTAAATTTTCATGAGGGAATAAATATACGAGCATTTTTTTCTTGAGAGCTGCAAACTGATTTAAGAAATTTTGGTAGAAGAAAATTTCTTTTCCATTTCTCGTCCGTCGTTTTATATGAATTTTTCGTTTTTCTTGAGAGTTCAGTTAATTTTTTCGGTATTTGAAATATTAAAAAAATTTAGCATTCGTGAAAAATCACCATCTCTATCGAAAACCAGAAACCGAAAAAATGAACATACAAGTGCAAAAATTCATGGAATCAATAAATTTATTTTTACTGACTCTTTTTAAAATTTTTTATTAGGTACTTTTGAAAGTTGAGCGCATCTTCAGTTTATAGAACTTTTTACTAAACAAGTAGTTTTTAAGGAAAGAACACAACCGACTTCAATTTTCATATACAAATTTAGGAGTACCGTTAATTTCTTCATGATCCAATCATCGGATCTCTAAAACAAATTACGGGACGAACCTTGAGGTACTATCTTTCTAATAAAAAAAAGGATTGTTGAAAACGGTTCACGTGGTCCAAAGTTATGTATTCCGGCGAGATGATAACCTCCCTTTTTTTTGAAGTCGGTTAAAAGCGTTTGAGTTCTGTTAATCTGTAAATAAAGTGCAGTTTATGAATTTTAAAACGTTTATTTATTTATTACATACTGTACATAAAACTTGTATAAATGTATATTAAAGAGGGTATTATCTGGAGCAAATTTTCAGTATTTTCCGGTGATATATCTTCAGAAATATAAAACCCCCCTAAAATATATTTCTGGGTGCGCCCCTGTCTGGACCCTACCCATTGTCTACAGTTCAAACGAAAAAAAGAGTCTGGAAAAATTTGGAATTGTCTTAAGTGCTCTTACAAAAGTGGGGGAAAAAATTGTCATCAATGTGAGTTCAAAATACGTCTACGTATTCCCTCAGCTTTATGAAAATCTTTCAACTCAGCATAAGGGGAACCAATTTTGTCAACCGGGATCTCTACGGTCTAACGTCGCTCCAGTTAAACACTGACGAGCTTCAGTGCTTTGGCGATAGTATTTTTAATGCAAGGATCACCGCTGACTTCGTGGCCCAACTTTTACCGGATTTTCTTCAGGAGGGTTAAATTATTTTGGGTTGGTCAAGTATATCGAACCAATAAAGCACTTCCGTACACTGTAATTTTAACGACACTTGCAATTCTGAATTATTTTGCTTCTTAAATCTGGTGGACAATATTATTCGCTTAAAAAATACTGTTGAAACCAGAAGCCAGCTTGAGACCCAAGTATCAATTAGTGTGATAGCTTTGAGAAGGCGGCTCCAAGATCAAATGATCCGGGAGTGTTTACCACATACGACGTCCATTGATCTGCCATGCTCAAAATTATGGTGAAATTGTAGCGGGTTCACTCGTGCCTGTTCGAAAAGACCGCCTCCGCCCCATGTCATCGCGCCCAATCTTATAATAAAGAACAGCATCGGATTATCTAAAATTTGTCAAGTTAATGAAATTTATCAAGTTATCGATATTTATTGAATTATCGTTATTTATAGAGTTAACGAAATTTATCTAGTTATCGTAATTCATCGTATACTTTCAACTAAACGAGATATCGATATTTATTGATTATACTGAAATTTGTCGATTTATCGAATCGAAGTTTTTGGAATTTTCCAAATATGTCGAGTTATCGAATTCTCAAAGTTATACATATAAGTTTATCGAGTTATCGCTGCTTATGGAATTTTCTCGTGTTTCCAGGGTGTTACGAGTTATAGAAATTTGTCGATAGATTTGAAAAGATATGGGGCTTTCAAAATTAACCGAGTTATCGAAATTTCTAGAGATATCCAATGCTTATCGAGTTATCGATTTATATCGACATATATACAATTTTAAGTTATCGTATTTTATGGAGCACCCAAAATGCTCAGTTATCGAAATGTATCGAAATTAGTCGAGTTATCGAATTTTCAAAGTTATGCATATAAGTTTATCGAGTTTTCACTGCTTATTGAATTTTCTCGTGTTTCCAGAGTGTAACAAGTTATCGAAATTTTGTCGATAGCTTTCGAATGACATGAGGCTATCAAACTTAACCGAGTTAACGAAATTTCTAGAGGTATCCAATGCTTATCGAGTTATCGATTTATATCGACATACATACATTATTAAGTTATCGTATTTTGTGGAGCACTCAAAATGCTCAGTTATCGAAATGTATCGAAAATTATCGAAATTAGTCGAGTTATCGAATTTGGTTGAGTTATCGGATTTCAGTATTGTTGAAATTCATTGAATTATCCATATGTATCACATTATCGATATTTATTGACAAACTGGAATGTAGCGGGTCAATTACAAGTCCTGCCAAAGTCCTCCAAGGACCTTCAAATATATAAAAAATTGTAGTCACGTTTTAGTTCCATAGTAATTTTGTACTTTATAAGTTAAACGACGTGCTAAGTTAGAAAACCTCTTCAAGGGTCTTAAAAAAGTAGAAATCGGTAAAGTTTCGACAGTAACTGGCGCTCCTAGTCTTTATTAAAGCGGCATCTCTGCTTGGTGCACAAAATAAAGTAGGAACAGTAAAAGCGTAAAGCCTTTGGCCACTGTTCACACACAGCCCTCACTGGTCAATGCTTTACCCCCAGTAAGTACTGAAAGGAACTAAATGACGATTCAGTGAAGCCACCATACCAATGAGCTCTAATCGTTTATGCCTCTGGTGGAAATAGGCTATTATACAGCTTATCCTTCTATCGCTTGCGTATTCGCCATAGCTAATCTGCAAAAGCCCATAATTCTTCTGCAGAACCTTTCCACTCGATGCTTTCTAGCAGTTTAAGTTGTCAAAAATAATTGCATATCTCTAATTTTTATTCCAAACAGATCGCCTGCAAAGTCCTGGATCCACGAAGCTCTCAATGTTTTTCATTTTCTGTGGTTCAAGTGAGCCGGCTTGTGCAATTCTCGTTTTGTTAAACTTGGAGATGTCTTTTTGATACTTCAAAAGTGCCTAAGCACAGGGATGCTTCCGGAATTAAGAGAAGAAAAAACTAAAATTTCAACTGTGAAGTTTGTTGCTTAAGTCTTTTGTTAGTTGCTCAAAATGTGATTTGCTGCTGCTAAGCGCCATTAAAAAACAAAAATTAACGCAGCTTGTTAAGGCGAAAAGCAGAAGTAGATAAACGTAAATTAAATGATCTCCTTAACCTTTTTTCAGAAGCGTAAGCTGTGGAATATGCATTTTTACGTGCCTATAATGTTTTGGCTTGCAAAAATGTCTACGACCAGAAAAGGAGTGAAAGGCCATTTTATTGCTTGGAAAAATGGTAAGCGAACTCCTCTTTTACCGGCACATACATAAACTAAAGCCACCAACAAAGCGAAGAACTCCATACCTTCAGCGGAGAAGAAAAAAGTGTGAACAATGCACTGGCGTCGCTTTGTTGCAACGTTGAATGGCAGCGCAGGAAATATTTGCGCTTCACGGTTGGTCGAAATGAATTTACAAAGCGTACAAAAAAAAGGAATCGCATCAAAAAGAAACTCAAAAAACAAAAAACAAAAAAAAAAAACGGCCAAAACAAGCCAACAACAACTGGAGCAGAAACGCCAGCAATGCAAGCAAGTAATAGACACAACAAACTGGTTCGCACAGCGCACAACAATACAAATCAAAAGGGGTGTGGCTTTGGCTTAGCAACACTGCGCTAGGTGAACAACAACAACAACAAAACACACGCAGTAAACTAGTCTAGCGACCGCTTTGTTGTTGCCTTAGTAAGAAATGGAAAAAATAATGGTTGTGTCACTGACGCCGCGGCTGTGTTTTCCCCCTTTTGTTTTATTTCTTTTTCCGCTTTGCTGCTGCTGCAACCCTATCTGCTCGTCGCGTCTCGCCAAGACAACTCGCACCTGAACAATGTGGCCGCAACAACAAATGCCAAGGCAAAGCTTTGTGATTGGCTGACTAGCTTTTGGTGCAATAAAAGCAACAAAAACAACCGTTTAGGTATGTTTGCTTTGCGATTATTTCCCCAGGAGAGTACCTATGTACAAGCAAACCAAAGTAGCAACAACAATGCAAAGCATTGTATGGAAACTTGTTGCCGTGGAGAAATAAGCCATTGCGCGCGAGCAAGATGCCGCTATTTGTGAGCTAACGAGAGAGAGCAGACATTTTGCTTTCAATAAAAACTTTTTCGGTTATTGGAAGGGGGCAACAGGGGCGGCAGCTGACACATTTCCAGTGCAAGGCGCGTTCGATACAACACCAAGGCAGTCAAGCCAGCGAATGCGTTGTTTGTGTAGGCCAACGAGTAGCAAGCAAATGCAGTTACTCGCTAGAGAGCTATGAAGAGTCTCAGTGCAGTGCTAAAAATGGGCGGTCGATGGCTGCTCAACCAGCTCGCTAGAAATTGAGCGCACACCTGAGTTGGTGGCGTATACAGAGAGCAGGCGAGAGTCTTATAAGAACACAAATGAAATAGTTATCTCTTTCGCACCAACGCGTTGGCGGCGCGCCACGAAATGGGGAGCACTTGATTGTATTTCAAGTGGCGCTCCTCAATGCGTGCTGCACGCCAAATATTTAGTCGTCGCAATGGCAACAACAACGACACCTCACTCAGCCAACAACTGTAGCCACCAGCAGTGGAGCAACAACGGCGGTTTCTTCTTGTTGGACTCATTTGCTTGATTGTGTGGCGTCGATAGCTTTGGCGCTCGACCAGAGCGGCATATCCAACCAGTTCGTGTTCGAGCGTGAGTGGCGTTGCACAGTGTAAACGGATATCGTCGGAGTGGTGTGCTCGCGTCAGCCCAAAACAAAGAATCGAGGAAGTTTTACCCTTTCGCATTGTTGCTTTTATTTTTTTTATTTTTGGTCTATTGTTACGTTTCGTGCGCGCTGTAGATTGTTGTTGCTACGTTGCGTTACGTATTCGATATTCGGTGTTTGGTGTTCTATCGACGGCTTTGACGTCGTACATGTCCGTTTGACGTTGGTTAGACGCATTGCTGCGTAGGAATTTGGGACTCATATGCGCGTGTTTGCATGCGCGCAGCAGAGTGTTTGTGGAGGCCACATTTTGGCAGTGGATATTGGCGACGGCAGCAGTGTGTTAGCCTGTATGCATGTGGCCGGAAGCAAGCGGGTTTTTAGCCAAGAAGATTCGTAAACGGAAATGTTTGAAAATTCAAAAAAAAAAGAACTGTTCGTTCTGAATGAAGCTGCGAGTGAAAAAATATTGAAAACTCAATAATGAAAAACTGTGAAACAAACTAAGAAAAAGTGGATAAAGAAGGCGAAAAACATTCATTAGAGGTGTATGATGAAAATATTTAAGAATTAAAAAAAAAAAAACATTTGCCTAAAAATATTTCATAGATGCGTATTGCTACCTCGATCGCAAAAGCCCATAACTGAGTTCATCATAAAAAAAAAACTGAACGCAAACATATCGTGCAATAGCAACATTGTGCAATCGACTTCACCATAATACCAAAATATTTTGAAGTGTAAGAAAATTAGAAACAAAAAAAAATGGCAGCTTATGCGCAATTTGGATACGGCGGCTACCCTTCAGCATCGCAGGTTAGTTAAATAACATTTTTGAAATATATTTTGTAAATTTCAGCTTAACCATGTTAAATAATTTAAATTTAAATTTTTTTTTTTGAAAACGTAACCGTCGGAAATTTGCACTGTTATGTAATTAGGGATAAAAACTAGTAGATAATATATGAAATCTTCAAAGCGTTTTTGGTTGTATGGCGAGGGTATATCGTCTTCGTATGTAAAATGTGTTTTGGTGGAAAATGGTATTGAGTCAGTTAAGTTGCCATAAATTGGCTAATCTACATTTTTTCTGCCTAAAAGACCGTGCAAACCCTCGTCCAGCATAATATTTATTCACATTTAAATTTGTGCCATTATATGGATAAATACCGTTGCATCAGCATTCTCCAAAAAAGACTTATATCGTAGCCTTGAATTGGTTTTGCTGATTGTTTTTTTAGGGCAGTGTTAAAATTTCCTATTGGGTCATTGGTATAGCTTTATTTTTCCCACGCGTTTCGGCGTACTTCACGCCTTCATCAGGGAGTCTGATTTATTGCAAAAAATAAAACATAATACACAAAACAATTAGACATAGTTGCATATGACTGAAAAATATACATACATATATGTAGATACATATTTTTTTTTATCTAAATAGCACTTACATATTAGCTTAGTATAACTATTTACATAACAATTAACACAAAACATTGCACTGAACCCTTTCATTTGACGTCCTCATTAGTTCATCGCGTCCCTTATCCTCTCCTGGAATTGATTTTGTTGTTTTGGGGATTCTTATACATAACTACATATCGACGGCTGTGTTTAATATCGACCTATCTCGGCAGCCAGTTTGAAAACGCCCTATCTCAGAAAACTTTTCAAAAACGTCCTACTTCAGAATTTGATTGAAAACCGCCCTATCTCAGAATTTGGTTCAAAAATGCCCTATCCCAACTGAATATATATTGAAAATAGGACGTTTTTGAATCGGCAGCTGAGATAGATCGATCTTCCTCTTAGCCGTCGATACACAATGTAAAAAATACCAGACTTTTTCCACCATCATTTACAACTGAAACTAATTCCAATGCGGCTATGAGTTTTTTAGGTCTCCAAATGCTGGGCATACTTATTTCGTATAGTAAAATCCACCCCGCATTAGGATTTATAATCTCGAATATTCTCTATTTTTAGTTTTCCCATATCTGCAAGAATATTTTTATTAAAAAAAGTTGCGTAATGGTATAAAAAAAAAAATACAAACCTTTTGTAGAAATTCTCGAATTTAACCACTTGATCTTCGAAAAGGAATTGTAGTGGAGCTTACATTTTTTTGTAAGCTGAATCTGTCTTATTAAATTTTCCACTGTCAAATGCGAAAACGGCGTAAAATCGCAGAAAAAACATTAAACAAGTTTTGTTGTTCATATTTAGCCTGTTTTTATATATGAGGGCTATTTACTCAGTATATTACCCGGTACAATCCCACCACTAGCCTGGAGCCTATTTTTATTACACAAAAATTAGACTGGTGCGCAAAATCTTGTGAAATAATTTGTTTGCTTCTTCAAGCCAGGTGGGCACACAAGGTGTTAAGGGACTTATCGCCAGCTCCCCAAAATTTTTGAAATGGATCATGTATGTAAAGTAGAGTAGTAAAAAAAAAATCTAAAATGTTAAGCTCTCAACCCCTAGGATTTTTCTAAAGTTAATAAAAAATACACGTATTTTTTTGTTAAACAAATTATATTAAAGCCCATGTGGTTTTCCATGTATTTTATATGGGGGAAAACATTTTATCATAGAAGTGGTATTTTCGTTCTTCAGAAGACTTCCAATAATAATTGTTTATTTTACCATTTTTTAATATTAAAGATTTTTATGGGGCTCCCGATTACATTTTTGGGATTTTTGGGTGACCTGTAAGAAACAATTTATATTAAAAAATTGTTAAATAAAGAATTATTACTGGAAGTCTCCTGAAGAGAAATCGAGTTTTCCGATCGAAAATATTGATTCTATATTAAAATTAGTAAAATTAGAAAATTAGTTTTTTCCCATTGTAGTTGATTTCAAAACAGGGATATATTTTTTTCGGTGTCAAACAATTCTAGAGGGTGAGAGCATTAAAATTCCGACTTTTTTTTCTACTACCCTAGTATATACAAGATTTGCTTATTGGAGAGCCTTTTTAAATCCATGCTTTATTTGACTAGACACACTGGTACCTTGAGCTTATTATAAAAACAAACCATACTTTACATTCTAACCCAAAGACAAAGCCGTCATTTATGACTAATTTTATAATTTTGAATAATAATGCAATGTGTAAAGTTTGTGGAATATTTGCTACCTGCAAAGCACAACATGTTGTTAAATTTTTTTAATGACCAACAAAACTACATTTGGGGCCAGTTCCTCAACACCAACTTAAGGTTAAAGAGGGTTATCGACGTTATCGACCCGGTGTTATATGTTATGGCGTTAATCACGTCGATAACGATGTTTAACCTACAGTTAGTGTTAACCAGACCCTGAGTAACTGGCCCCTAGCAGACTTATAGCCTCATTAAAAAAACTAAAATAGTTTTAAAATGCCTTATAAACTGATTTTTCATTTATTAGATTTAAAATAATTTTATACATTCATTGTGTTTTTATTAAAAGACAAAATTTCGAACCGCTGCTGGTCAGTGGGAGAAGGTGATCACAAAAGAAGAAGCTAAATGCTAATCACACAATAATAAGATTTGCGAACAGATGAAACAAATTTTCATGTCCTTCTTAATTTAAAACTTCATGGTAAATGCGAGTAATATGTTCATATGTGTTGTGTGTTCATGCTATAGTGGTTATCCAATCACAGTATTTTTGGGTACGCAAGGGGATTTGATTTAAGATAAGAAAAAGGTTATATCCCAAAATTCTGAGAATAGCGGGGTCGAAGATGATTTGATTGTAGGTAAATCTGTCGAAAGGCAAATAATCCTCGTACTTTATAAAAGATACAGTAACACAGCGATGATAAAGCCTTTTTTCTTTCAGAAAAACTGTTTCAAATTTTTTCGACACGCTTTCTATAAATCTCCTTTTCGCTCGGAAAGTAAAATTAAAATGTGATGCTTATTTATAGCAAAAAATGAGCATAAAAAGGATCAATGAGTCTTTTGAACCCCTTTCAAAAATTTTGACTGTGAAATATCTTCTTAGCAATGTTACGAACGTGTTTTCTAACCGCGGTCGCCCCTCGGCAGGCAATGGCAAAGCTCCGAGTGTATTTCTGCCATAAAAAGGCTTCTCATAAAATCCATTTGCCCCTCGGAGGCGGCGTAAGATGTAGATACCTCCATTTCGGCATCAACAATGAGGCGTACACCATATATTGAATTATTATTGATATTACAATCTGGATGATTCATTTTTCGAAAGAGTAATTTGGCGAAAGAAACCCTCTTTTTGGAGTTTAATATAAGAATGAAAATACATACATACCTTTTTTGGTCAATTTAAAGATGGAAATTTATTAAGGCTATATAAAATTTGAATGCCTAATAAGTTTGTTAAAACGTAAAATGGAACTGGCGGCTTCTTTAAGAAATTGTCTATGAGAAAAGCCTTTAGTCTCACAGATTACTGCAACGTATTCCAGGTTGAGATCTATGCAATTGGAATAGCGTTGAAGCTGGTAAACTTAACCGACCTAACTCAGTACTTTCGTAGTGGACGAGAGCTGAGAAGGGATATAGGAAAATTAACTAGCTTTGGCTCACTTTAAGATTTTCAAAAACGAACGTTGGGCCTTTAGACATATGACCGTGAGGCTCGAAGCCTAGCATAAAGATTTCTGTAGAAGCTGTAAAGGTGCGGAAGGGATACAATCCATCTGGCAATTCGTATGCAAGCTTCCTGAATTCCATTGACACCGATTCAAATTTCTTGGACACTACTTCTTCGAGAACTTGCTGGCTTACGGAAAACTCCATCAGAGGATCTTCTAGTATTCGCTAGAAAATGAGCATCGAGAAATGCAGTCCTCTTCTAGGCATCAAAATGAAACTGTGCGGCCAACGTGTGAACTCTTCAACTAGAGCTGGGAATATTCAAAGACAATCATTTCTTGAGACAACCAGATAGTAGGAGTACCTACGCTTGTTTGAGTTAAAAAAAAGCATAATAACCAATTAAGCAATACTTTAGCAAAAAAGTATTTCCTTGGCCCAAAATTGTTAAAATAATTTTGAATTAACAAAATCGTACAGATGCTAAACATAATTGGCACATTTGTAGACTAACCCATTTTCATTGTTCTGCATACTTTTATGACTCAAAGCTGAACAATTTTTCGCACAATCGAATTTCCCTTCATACTCATATGAGGTGGCCAGCTGATTCAATAACTAAACAAATTTCAAAGCATTCCTCGCGAACTCAAAGATCAAAAGAATATTTGCATCTAATTTTTAGTTGTAAACATAGTGAGTAGATTTGTTAAATGGCAGCGGATTTGTACGCTATGATTAGTGAAATGATGAAAGAAGAGATTTTTTGGTTGGGTTTTAATGAGAACACTAGCAAGTGGGTATGATGACTAAGTTGGGAGGACTGACGTTTATAACCAGAATGAAAAAACAAATAAGTGGTGATCAAGTCTGCTTAAAGATTTGCCTTAAGTGATACTAACTAATGCAATACATATTTATGAACATACATTTGTACTACGTTGGGGTGGTCCAATTTTTTTTCCTGCTATTCTCCAGAACTGAAGATTGTTGATATTATTTTATTGAAATTTACCATTTATTTTGCATGCCTGTTTTCATAGAATTGCTATACAATATTTAACACACAAATCTATTAATCGAATAAGTGCCATTTTTCAAGTGGCTTTAAAAATTTATCTGCCCTGCAAACACATTTTTTTGAGTGCGAATTAACGTTAACAAACAATTATATTCAACAATTTTTATTGAGCTTGAGGCCATTTTTAATGAAAAACTTTTTGTGGAAAAGCAACAATAATTTTGAAA